TAGGCCAAAGAGAATGGCACACTTGATAACTCTATTACTGCAACAGGCTCATAATATTTCCACTTTCTGTGGAGTGCATGAGGTAATTTATGTCCATCATGGTTGCTCTGACATTACATGCCAGAGTCGTGACATGTCAAGTACGTGTCATTTTGCAGTCACATTTTCTGATGTCTGTGATCTGTGTATATATACACTGAACAAAAATATAAACGCAACACTTTTGTTTTTGCTCCCATTTTTCATGAGCTGAACTCAAAGCTCTAAAACATTTTCTATATACACAAAAGACCATTTCTCACAAATATTGTTCACAAATCTGTCTAAATCTGTGTTAGTGAGCACTTCTCCTTTGCCGAGATAATCCATCCCACCTCACAGGTGTGGCATATCAAGATGCTGATTAGACAGCATGATTATTGCACAGGTGTGCCTTAGGCTGGCCACAATAAAAGGCCACTCTGAAATGTGAAAATGTTTTAGATCTTTGAGTTCAGCTCATTAAAAATGGGAGCAAAAACAAAAGTGTTGCATTTATATTTTTGTTCAGTGTAGTATAGATGTGTAAGTTATTCAATAAAATGATTTGTAGATATTTTTTATTATCATATGCAGGGGTTGCTGGAAAATAGTGTTGTCCAATGTCTAGTTTCTTTCATTTAGTGAGAGTTACGTAGTTTCCAGTGCATTAAGCAGCAGAATGCTAAAACTACCTTGTAGACACGTCAAGCAGCTGACTTAAAGAGGAACTACACACATTTTTAAAATTCATACATATTATTTCTATGGTCAAAGACTGTCAAAAAATATTAGGTAACATCAACAGCTCTCCCAAATCCAAAACTCAGAGTGCTAAAACTCAAATGTATGATGTCATAGGGTATAAAGTCTGGAGTTGCTTCATAGACAATGAATTGAGAAAGATGTTTTAGATGTCACTGAGAGCACCCAGGGGAATGTTCTGAGTATATGAGGACACATTCTATTTCAACAACCGAGAATACTGCAATAGAACAAAACTCATTTGGGAGGTTGCCAAGGTATCAAAACTAGTGGGTTTTTTAAAAACTTGTCACCCACTGGTGGACACTCCTGATATTCCTAGTAGCAATAGTATGTGGCTGAAGTGCACACTCGCACCAGGTCATGGCCATCAGAGCTGCCAGTGGTGCCGGGTCTCCTGATGTGCAAAGGTGCTTATTAGGCATGGCCAATATTTATTTTTTCATACCTTCCTGAAATTTCACCAGGGTATACAGTAAATGACGTATGCTATTGCCGCTGTTTACAATACACTAACGATATCATCACCCCCCACTGCTTGGTGTCGTGGTGTCTGTCAGCTCAGCAGCCTGTGCCATTAGTACAGACTGATTATGAATCAGTTTCACCTGCTGTTGTGCAAATCGGACAGACAACAGGTGGAAAGGAGGGGCAATTACCAAGACAACCCCTATTTAGGAATGGTTTTGCAGGTGGTGGCCTCAGACCATTTCCCTCTCTGCGTCTTTTCTGGTTGATTCTTGGCTAGTTTTGCATTTTTCCAGTGCCCTCACCACTAGTGGTATCATGAGGTGATATCTGCAGCTGCTCAGGTAGTGCAGCTACTCCAGGATGGCACATCCATACGCGCAGTGACCAGAAGGTTTGCTGTGTCTCCCAGCACAGTGTCAAGAACATGGAGGAGATACCAGGAGACAGGCCAGTACACCAGGAGAGGGTTCCTTCTGATGCATGACAATGTCTGGCCTCATGTGGCTGGAGTGTGTCAGCAGTTCCTGGATGACAAAGGCATTGATGCTATTGACTCGCCCGCCCGTTCCCCAGACCTTAATCCAATCGAGCACCTTTGGAACATCATGTATTGTAGCATCCACCACCACATCGCACCACACACTGTCCAGGAGCTGACTGATGCCCTGATCCAGGTCTGGGAGGAGATCCCCCAGGAGACCATCTGTCGTCTCATCAGGAGCATGCCCAGACATTGTAGGGAATGTATACAGGCACGTGGAGGCCAAACACACTACTGAGCCTCATTATGAGTTGTCCTGAGGAAATTCACAGAAGTTGGATCAGCCTCTTTGATTTTGGGTATGATTCTGAATCCAGTCCTAAATGAGTTAATGATTTTGGTTTCCATGGATTGTTCTTTCTCAACGAATTACACTATGTAATCAATAAAGATTTTCATCTGCAATATTTAATTCATTGAGATCTGGGATGTGTGATTTAAGTGTTGACCAGTGTATATTGTATTAATTATCTGAATCTGCAAAAAACTAATGTTTTCAGAAAAGTTTAATGGAGTTGTAAGAAAAGTGCAATATTTGCCTATGAAATGTAGTGAAGCAGAAGCATAAAGTAACACAAAACAGAAATAAGTAAAGTAAAAGTACCTTAGAATTACCTAAGTACAGTACGTGAGTAAATGTACTTCATTACTTTCCACTGCAAGATGAGGCAGATGGTGACACATACACAAACTTAAAATATATAATATGAATCCACTCATTTAATTTTTTGACATTTAGGGCGTGTGAACATCAGCCTGTGGTCTTCGTCTAGTCCTTCTTTTGGTGCAGTTTGATCTTTTACAGTCCATTACCCTAACCCATGGGTAGGCAACTTGCTGCTCCTGAGCCGCATGCAGCACTTTAGACCCTCTCCAGTGGCTACCCGTGGCTTTGAGATAAAATTATACGGAAAATTATATGGAAATGAATAAATTAATTTTTTAACATGAAGATTTTCATTTGTCATAGTTACAGGCCTAAAGTGAGTATTGCATTCTATCAATCAGTTCAATCAATTTAATTTATAAAGCCCAATCCTCTGGGAGGAAAATAGAGGTTATTAATGTGTGGACAGATTCATTTCCTTTGCCATCAACGTTGCAAAGTTAAAGTGCTAGATAATTATAAATAGCCCACTGCAGAGTAGCCACCTTGTAGTAAATCATATTAATGAATGCTCATTTAGACCTATTGGTAATGTTGGTGGGCTGATTTAGACTTAAAAGGCTGTTACCTTTATTCAAATATGCTTTGCAGCTAGAGGCAGATTTTTTTTCTTTTTTTGGCCAGTAATGGTTCTTTTAATAGTAAAGGTTGCCGACCCCTGCCCTAACCAGTGGTTATAACTGTAGCTGTGGCTTAGAGGTAGAGTGGCTTGTCCACTAATTGGACAATCGGCAATTCAGTCCCTGCCTCCGCTAGTCCGTATGTCCATGGGCAAGATACAGAACCCCAGATTGCTTCCAATGGCTGTTCTATCAGTGTGAGCGCATGTGAATGGTTACTGAGTAGCAGGTGACACCACGCATGGTAGCCTCAGCCACCAGTGTGTGACTGTGTGTGTGAATGGGTGAATGTGGCATTTAGTGTTAACGCACTTTGAGTGGTCAGAAGACTACAGAGGCACTATACAAGTGCAGTCCATTTACCATTTAACCACTGTCTACAGCTGTCAGAAATGTATCTCACCAGGCAACTGTGCCCTGTGTTTGTAGAACAAGATAAAGTATCTGCACCAGTGCAATGCACATTGCATTGGGTCTAAATGCCCAATAGGACAACACTTCATATGATCTGGTTCATATGAACTGTTGCCTGACCATGTCAGAAAATTTGCTTACCGTATATTTGGAACTGTATAGTTCTGAATGGCCACACTCAAAGCTGGCCATAAATTAAATGTCAATCAACAATATTATTTAAGATCCAAATTGATATTTACAAACATAGGTGGTAGATATACCTAGCATTGAAAACAGGAGAATATAAGAATATCCTTTCATAGTGAATGTAATGACATTGTTGTTTGTTCTATCACAGGTGCAACCTGCATCTTAAAGAGGAAGTTCTCAGCCTCCCAGTTCTGGAATGACTGTCGAAATCATGATGTTACTGTTTTCCAGTATATTGGTGAACTTTGCAGATACCTCTGCAACCAGCCTAAGGTAAGCTTCTGTTAACCTCTTGCAAACATGATAACAAGCCTGTCTCTGTATGGACAGACTGACAGCAACAAAACACTGTTTTTCTGATTCATTTTGTTTTAAAATTGCTATAAAATTTACATTATTGCCTTACTCTCCTAAATTTAAATATACTCTTTGGAAGACTTGATAGTTTACAAAGAAGCAAAATTACAATGATAGTGTGCCCATGTTCTTCCAACATGTCTTATTAGTAATTTCTTTGTTTTCAGAATCATTTATATTAGTTGTAGTTAGTTATATTAGTTATATTAAAAAGACATGCTTTGTCTTGAATCTAATGGACAAACAGCCAAGTCACCTAAACTTTCTATTCTATTCCATTCGGATTTTATTATTCTATTCAATTACTTGCTTTTATCTCAGTGTGACTTGCCCTCATGTTGTTCACATTTAACTTGTTATCCACACAGCAGGCTACAAAACAGCACAGTCAACATACATTGCCACTTAATAAATGACAGAGCAAATGAGTTAGAGTAAAGCAATAGGAAAGCATCAGTTCCTTTCACAGGTGGCAGACTTTTTACTTTGTAGAGAGAGTCCTTGACTACACTTTTCACTGCTACTGGTAAATCATTCAAGTAACATTGTGCACAACTGTGGCAAAAAGACAAGCGGGGTCTTTGTTTTAATATTTGTGTCCTCCCATGGAGGACACGTAGACATGCATGCGCACACACACACAGTGTGAGAGCTCATCCTTTCTTCAGGCTGGACTCAAAGTCCTCTTTGTCTACTCTTCCCCTGTTATTTGGCTGTGTGGGTGGAAGGCTTGCCATGGCTGCCTTCGCCACTGATTGGCAAATGAAAGATGTGGGCATGTACAGCACATAAGCATCTTTTCACAAGGTCAATGTGTGCACACAGGCATGAGTACTATTTACTGCTTGTGTGTAATTACTGCTTGTGTTCACAATGTGCAGACATGGCAAACACCATGTCCTCAGAGCAGAGAATACAAACACCCTTGGCAAGCAGGGGTTTGCTCATCTCTGTTTGTCCAAACGTATTTTTCACTGGATCAGGAGTGCAGAGACCAAGAATGAACTGTTGATACAACACTTTTTTGGACCCCACATATCAAAATTGTTCTAACTGTTAAAATTTAATGACATCTATTTAAAAGCCTTCTTCTCTATTAAAGAAAACAATAAGTCCTCCCAGCCCACAGTGCACCAGTTCTTCTTCTCCTCCTTCTTCTTCTTCTGTTGTATTTCTCACAGAGTAGTTGCTCAAGCTGTGTTGGCTGCACCATGCAGTTCATACAGGCAGGGCTGGATAACTAACCAAGGTAATTCAGGCAACTACCCCTTGGCCCAAGATCCTCAGGTGCCCCACAGGAGAGGGGATGTGTGTGAAACAGGGATGCATGATAATGTTGGCATGTCATCAGTATCAACTGATACTGATTTTTTTTTTTTAATTGAGAAAGTTAACATGAACAAAACATTAGGTAAATGATACAGCACATGAACAAAACAAAGATATACGAATATGTATGAAGAATATAAAGGTCAATAATTAAAACTGAAGGATAAACAGACAAAAAAATAAACGTGTGTAACTCTTTCACAGTCGCCTGTGTTAATTACCACCAGAGCAGAAAAGATAACTCAAAAGAGTTAACGTGATAACATGTCAAGATAACATGACTTAAGATTCAGTTATTAACTTTATGGTGAAAAAGGGCTTAACGTTACAATATAGTACGAAATGCTGATACTGCTGTGTGAACATAATTTTCACAATCACGTTAAAGTAACCAGACATGCAAATACATTTATCATTTCAGTGTGTTAACAGACTGTTGAATAAAATTTAATGAATATTGCGTGGTGACGTAATGTGGTCACACACATGCACGCAACATTTTTCAATGAGTCAAAGGTCCATTTATTATAGTTGGTCAAGCCACAAGCCATAATACTGTCATATTCAAAACTCGAGTGAGGACGAAGACTGACTCGAGTCAGACTCTAGTCGCAAATTTGAGGGCTTAAGACTTGCTTGACAAACACTGATGAAAGACTTGACTTGGTATTTATGACTTGAGACTTGATGCAAATGACTTGAAAGGACTTGACTTTTAGAATATTTGTATCTTTCTAGACATTGAGAAGTTATGTCTTGTTTTTTAAAATATGATGGCGCATATGTCACAGCGGGGGAGGACCTAATATTCATGCTCATGCCATGAGAGCTCTGTCCTCATGCCTACAGCTCTCCTTGGAGGAATGGAAATATGTGCAGCAGCATCACGAGCTTCACTGTGTGCTTTTATTCAGTTCTATCTGCGTGATGCATGTGTGTTAAGTATTCAAGAACTCATTCAGTATTGAACTAATCTCTCAAGACAGATTCTTGAGTCCCCAGAATATGTCCCCAAATATTTTTTCCAACAGATGTCTGAGTTACAACATTATTGAGCTAACTAGAGTAGTTTCATGTCGTATCCGACAACGGGAGGCTTTTAACAGATGACGTCCTGATGTTAGCTTTGCTGCTAGTGTTAGCTGTCCCTGTCAGCTGCAGCCACTGATGCTTTCTAGACATCGTGATTTCCCATAACTGAATAAATAGCATCAGATTAGTCTACACGGTGATATAGTGACATGAAAAATGTGATATATAGCTAAACTCTGCTGGTTTTCTACCCAAAGTATTTGCAAACAACACTGCGATTCCCTGGGGGCACCGCCGGAAGTGAAGGGCGTGAGCGATCGCAGAGACCCCTGCACTTCCATTAGTTGAAAAACTCCGGGCTGTGCCTCCAGAGGTAAAGGAAGAAAGAAAAAAAGGGTTTATTTTTTTTAATTTTTTTTTTCTTTTAACCGATGGATTTCCAGATTGGTATTGAACAAGCTTTGCAACTAGTGACACACTAGGCTCTTTGAGATGAACTGCGCCTCATCTGGAAAGTAGACGAGATCAGGCAGCTGCAGCAGGGGGGCGGTGACAAAAACCTGCGGTTAAGTGGGACAGTTTCCAAACAGTTTCCAGCAGCCTTCAGTCCATACACAAAGTCACAGAAACACATACATCCTTTCCGATATGATGTAGATTTCTTAAAATATTGTCAGACTTATATATAAATTTGTTCTGTCTCCAATTGTTTTAATCATAATGAATTAATTAAAATATTTTACAGGCGATCTGTAATTTAAGTCCATGGTTCAACCTCCATTTTACATGAATTGACGTGTAAATCAGCATCATATCAGTTTGCTGCTGCAGAGCAGACCTGTCCTCTCAACTACATAGGCCGTGGTGACGCAACGTGGTCGCGCACATGCATGCGACATTTTTTTCAGTGAGTCAAAGGTCTATTTATTATAGTTGGTCAAGCCACAAGCCATAATACTGTCATATTCAAAACAAAATGTCATTTTTATTCAAAACAACAAAAATACATACAAAAATAAAATTAAAATAAAATGCCATTTCTATTTTGACATAAATTCAAATAAATACTCAAATAAGACAAAACCTTTCAACACCTTTCTTTTCTTTTCGAACTTGGAACATGCCATTTTCATTCAATCTAGGCTCCTACTGCTGGCAAAGTATCGATAAGCGTACCACTTCAAAAGCGAAAGTAAAAAAGTGCAGTTCTAGCTAACAGCCTATCAGCTCATTGTTGGCATGGAGATGAAAGCCCATTTACATGTGCTGACCAAACCAAACCCCCACAGTGAAGGAGTCATGTGTTCAGCTCGCGGTCTGCAAATAGGCGGCTTGCGGGGCAGATTTATGTTTATTTATGTTTATGTTTATATTTATTTTATTTGAAGCAGCCCAGGGGTAGTAGTGCCAGCAAGCTTTTTTGTGATTTAGGGATAAACACCTTCCAGGCCACCCTGAGAACACTGATGTTTAAGTTTATATGTAGACTGCAGGGGTCCCAGAATAATCTTATTATACAGTTGACCAACCCAAGGTGTAGTTCTGTTAGATACCAATCCTATATGTGGAAACACTGGTATTTGTGCCTTTTATAAAATGTGTATGAACACTTTTTAAATTGCATTTTTTTGCTGCTCTTATTAGATGCCTTTTACTGAATATCCACAAGTATTTTTTTAATATAATGTGATATAACGCCTTTTTATTGTATTTTTGTTTTATGTACTGTATGTGATTGTATGTTTATTTGGACGTTGGGGTCTGCAATAAAGTTTGATTGATTGATTGAACTGGCACAGAAACAGTGTCAGAACAAAGCTCTAGTGCATTTGTGAAAATATGATCAATGCAAGTTGAAATATTGGTGCCATCATTTTTCTGGCTAATTCTAGTAGGTTTATTAACCATTTGAGATAATCCACATGAATTTGCAATCATTTGAAGCCTTACCTTCAATGAACAATTTAAATTCCTGTCTATGTTTAAATCTCCCATAAAATAAATTTCACATCCATGTTCTAACGTCTCACATATTTTGTCTAGATACTCAGAATTCGCACTAGGAGGTCTATAACAGCAACCAAAAAGCATTGGCTTCAAATGTGGCAACTGTACTTGCAGCCAAATCACTTCAGTGTCACTTAAAATTAAATCCTCTCTTATTTTCACCGGTATGTGATTTTGAATATAAAATGCCACCCCTCCGCCAAATGCATTCCTATCTTTCCTGAAAATACTGTATCCATCTACCATTACTGCCCCATCTTCAAATGTTGAGTCAAGATGAGTTTCTGAAACTGCTAAAATGTGTAAATTATCTGAATGTAATATGTCTGCTATTTCGGCCAATTTGTTTGTTATGCTACAAATATTGATGTGAGACATCCTTAATCCCTTTTTAGGTAATCTAGAATATTTTAACATAACATTCATTCAAAAAGATATCTGCCATCTTTAAACTCAGAATGGGAGCAACACAATTTACGTATTGCGAATACATACAAAATAAAACATACACCTACACAAACCAGACACGGACAAAACACAAATACATAAACACGGGTCATATTAAGTAGGCTAAGTTACAGTATCATCGCTGTGTGGTTTATGTCTTAGTTAAATAAAATGTATCACCCCTTACTAATAATACTTTATTGGAGATTAACAAAAGCCATCTTAACTACAACTTATAATATATTTAATTATACTTTTAATTTATACATGTTAATCCTCAGTTTAACAAGATAAAAGAAAAACAAACAAAAGAAAAACAAACAAATGCTACCATACATGTAGCCTTATATCATAATCACTTAATCTCCCATTATAGTAAGTTATTTTAGTCTATTGTGCCTTGAGAACATCCTAATAATTAACCAAGGGAAAATCAGAACAACCAAGGATGCATAAGCTTTATCTATCACCTGCTCTTTTACTTGATGGATCCTTGTATTATTCATTCTTGATTTATTTTCTAAAAACTCCACTTTTTCAGACAGAAGTTTTTCTTGCTGTAGCAGGTGAATTAGTGCTTCAATATTAGTTGATTCTCTCACCTCCAAGTCGTTAATTCTTTGTTGCGCAGCCTTAACGTTGCAGACAGCAGGTCGCAATTTGAGGGCCACTGGTCTATATAGTATGTGCGTTGGAGCTCAGCACTGCACCGTCCTAACCACGGTAAATCCAGAGGCTGCTGCCTAAAGAGATCCTTCACAGAAAAAAAAACAGTTTTATAACCAAAGGCCAATGCCAAAAAAACAAGTTGTGCAAGGATGAGTCCTGCAGTGCTGTGTCGTTCTCTTTTGATGATGTGTTATCCTCTCTTGATCTGCCGACCGTAGTAAAATCAACTACTGAGCTAGCTAATGGCTAGCGAGCTAAAGTCCACACTAGTTTAAAACTGCTGAAGTAGCTAGCTAGATGCTAGTGGGCTAAACCGTCCACACAATTCTTCCAACATGGCACTTTGTCAAAACATTCACAGTCACTGAGCAAAAGTCCCACACTCTCTATGCTCCTGTGTTTAAAGTCAGTTCTTATCAACTCACTATTTAGTGCTTTTTCCGATGGCTGCTCCTCTCAATACTACCATCTCTCCAGGGTTGCCAGGTCTGACAATTATAAGTTCAAGTTGAATGGGTGTTAATTAGCTTGTTAAGCTGTCAGCCTATCCCAGGGGCAAAGCTGACAGCTTAACAAGCTAATTAACACCCATTCAACTTGAACTTATAATTTTCTTAAACCATTACAAAGTAAAACACCCTCAGAAAACAAAAGGCTGTGAAATATTATTTTTCTTAGGGCTTTCAAATTTTGAAGGAAATGTTCTTCATAATTGCATATATTTTTTCAGAAAATGAAAAAATAGTAATAGCCTACACAATGCAAACACAAATACATGGTCTTTAAAGGGAAATTTCGGTTTATTTCAACCCGTCTCCTATCGTCCTAAATTTGTTTCAAGTGACTAGTGACATAAAAATAATAGTTAGCATGTTAGCAGTTAGCCTAGATACAGCCGTAGCGTCAGACCTGTTAAAACATAAATGAACGGGCATCCATTCAAGTGCAAAGTTAGTCCACTAAACAAGCTTTTTATCCACAAAGACCGCCTCATATCGTTAGGATAAATGTCAGAGAACATATAGAAAACGACATGTAAACATGTTGTCTTACCTTACCGGTGTGGTGCCATGTTTGTTTACCATTTAGCTCTGCTTTCCAAAGCGCAGCCGAAATCTCGCGAGAACAAGCAGCAACAGCTGGAAGGCAGAACCGGACAGTAGCCTGAAAGGTTCATTCATTTATTTTATGAAAGATTTATAGAATAATGGCTGACTTTTTGCCAGACTTCGACTTTGTGGAGGAGGAATTTGATTTTGCAGAGTTTGATGGCCGCCCTTATTTATTTGAGCCAGAATACACTGATGAAGAGCTTCGTGAAATTGAAGAACGGAGGAGGAGGAGAGAGCAAGGCGCAACAGGTAGAGGACGAGAGAGGAGGAATGGCTGCTGCAAGGCTGCGTAGCTCTGGAGATTGGTGGTGTACCTGTGAATGCTGTGCCCCAGTGCCCACAGAAGAGGAGTGCTTCTGTTGCAAGGAATGGGACCGGTTGCAGCCTTATTTTCAAGGTCTGGATGTGACCGAGGACGAGACACCTCCACCTGGAGTAGTATCCAGCTGGGCTTTATCTAGAGCTAGCGAGATTTCAGGCACGGTATGAGATCGCTGCTTGTTCTCGCGATATTTCGGCCGCGCTTTGGAAAGCAGAGCTAAATGGTAAACAAACATGGCAGCACAACGGTAAGGTAAGACAACACGTTTACATGTCGTTTTCTATATGTTCTCTGACGTTTATCCTAACGATATGAGGCGGTCTTTGTGGAAAAAAAGCTTCACTTACGTTTTAACAGGTCTGATGCTACTATGCACCCTGGGTGTATCTAGGCTAAAGGCTAACATGCTAACTATTATTTTTATGTCACTAGTCACTTGAAACAAATTTAGGACGATAGGAGACAGGTTGAAATGAACCGAAATTTCCCTTTAACCAGGGTGTCACATAAGTAGGCCTATACAAATGAAAATACATATTAAAATAAAGACAAACTTGGGTAGAAGCATACAGATAAAGAGGTATATTCAGTCAGAGAATTAGGGGAAGAAAGTTGCATAATTTTTCACAATATATGGATATATCAATATCAGCAAAAAAGCCAATATTGTGCATCCCTGGTGTGAGACAAGGCCTCCTGGCCAACAAAACAAAATGGCTGACAACAGAAATTTACAACAAAGATGACTGCATCAAAGATGGCCTCTGAGAGAGAGGGAGGTTCTGCTTGAACATGAGGTCGGTAGAAGAACAGAGGAAAGAAGAAACCATGTGAAATGGAAACGTTGAGTCCCCTCTCTGATCTATGTTTCAAACAGTTCAATGTGTTAAGTGTGTGATCTGTGCAGACTAATGGTGCCAGGTTAGAATCAGACTGATTAGATTGCATGCAACACCTGGTGTCTGTATAAGGCATACTAACATTGATTTAGTGGTGGCACAGCCAGCTAACCAATAGCCTGACTACAAAATGACCACAACTATAAAACTAAGTGAACAGAGTTAAATCAATGATGTTACACATAAAGTAATAGAAGTTAAACAGTCTTGCTTTGCGCATTTCTGCAAACATTATCTAGGCCCATTTGTTACATTACCAGTGCATGGATGGAATGAAGAAGAACCTAAGTAGAAATAATATTATATTATGGGGTGGTTGTATAGCATTCTTTGTGATGTGTAGGTAGTCATTATGTATTCATGGCAAGACTTTTTTTCCTTGAGAGCTGCAGTTTGAAAGCTTGTTGCATAACTGACTTTTATCTATATAAAATTCAAGAATGATAGAATATATATATCCCAGATAGCACACATACATCTGGCCGACGTCGGCCTGAGGACGACACATCGGCCCTGAATTTATAACGTCTGACAAGCGTCGGCCGCATGGGCGGATATCTTTAAATTTAATACTCTTTTGTCCCAGCTCATCAAACGTATCTGTTACGTCGGCTTTGGGTCGGCCCAGTGCTGTAGAATGTCTGCCCACATACGGAAGTCGCCACAGAGGCGGGATTTCATTTCCGCGATGTTTATTCGGAACTGAGGTCGCAGCACACAGCATCTCATCAGTTGGTTTCAGGTAAGCTAACTGGAATAAACTGGCAGAAAATAGCTTTGTTGTTTCTTCTGTGACCGTTAAAAGAAGTTCCTGGTGAGTGGCGAGGCACGACTGAGTGTATATAGCTTAGCACATGTCCCCACCAACTAGCGTTATCTTTCGTTAGCTGTTAGCTAGTTTAGCGGTTTAGCTCATGTTATGCTAACAGGCTACAACTGTGGTGTTTTCATGTTATTTTCCCTAGTTGATGTTATCTGCTCATCTGGTTATCGTGAGCACTCATTTTGGGTTAAAGTGGAAGTGCCCGGAGTTGCCACCCGTGGTCCCGCGGCCCCCCGGCCTGGCCTCCGGGGCCCTGGACGTGTGCTAAAGTGTCTGGGAGAAGAGCGGAGAGGAGCACGGAGGTCAGGTGGGGCGGGCCGACACTGTGTATCCCAGAACGGGTGCTGAAGTGTCGGTGAGACCAGCAGAGAGGAGCGCGGAGGTAAAATAGTGAAGTTTAAGGATGCCTTCAGTATGTTGTTAATGTGATTTTATGGGCAATTTATCAGTCGAGGTCTCCTCCTCTGCAAAGCAAACTGACCCGGTGGCTACAGGTAATAGCACAGCTTTGAAACCACAGTTTTTCTGAGATGAAGGACTGATTGTTGAGCTGCTGTTAACAGTTAATGGAGTTAATGGATCCCGTTATTTAACCGTTTCAACACTAAATGAAGCAGAGTGACGGACCCAAAGCCTTCAATCTGGCTAAAAGACAGCTGAAATGCTAAAAAAATAATACAGTGGTGAAGCTGGAGTTTGTTTCTTGAAGTCATGTGCTCATCGTCTTTTCTGTGTCTTGCAGGCTGCCAGGAGAAGCGGACTGGCCGTCAGATATTGTTTGTGGAAATTTGAAAATAAAGTTTGTCAAATTGACTTTTGTCTCTTCATTGTGCACACTTAAACACGAAATAGGGTAACAGTCAGCTATTTTTGAATGTTAGCACTGATTTCTCACATTGGATGGTGAAATATTTGTAGTTTGTAAGGTCCGACCTAAATGAATAAAGGTCGTAGTTAACGAAGCATATGAATATTAATAAAGGAACGCCTACTGAGCGCAGCTTATTTTATTGATCGTTTGAACGTCGCGTGGTGGTCATTTTCGATTAAAGGCCGACGTCTCAGCGACGTCTTGGCAATGAGCAAACGCTCTCCCTGCTACGTCTTAACAATCTAAACTTGATACATCGGGCCGACGTCGGCCAGATGTATGTGTGCTATCTGGGATTCTATCATTCTTGAATTTTACATGTCACTGAGAAATGATCAGTTGGCACCTGTTAGATCTGTTTTGTTAATATCATCACATCCCTCTCCCTCCATCAGACAGAGATTGATAAAATTCACAAGGTGCGTATGGGAGTTGGGAATGGACTGCGACAGGACGTCTGGCGGGAGTTCCAGAGTCGCTTTGGAAACATTAAAATGTGCGAGGTGTATGGCTCCACTGAGGGAAACCTGTGTTTCATGAACCACATCGGCAAAATTGGAACTGTGGGCCGCTCCAACTTCTTCTACAGGGTGAGTATTTTGTAATCTTAAGGTGTTAGGTCTGCAAGATGTAAAGAGGGGATGAATTCCTTACAAGTAGTAAATGTGGGCACATTACCCAAACAGGAAGTCCCATGTCACACACTTCACTTAATACACCTTGCTGGCACATTAACTATGTCTTTACCTTACTGTAGGCAACGTTATCAGCCACTTATAGTTACAGGCCTTCACTCTGCCAAAAAGACCAAAAAATAAAGAAGCAAAAAGCACAAGCGTTGGAAGTCTAGTTAGTTAGTAGCAGGATTAGGTATAATGTTGGAGATATGGCCAGAAACTTAGTTTAAAATATTACGAAAAAACTAAACAAACATTATTACAGAATGTGAAGAAATAACAGGTTTGATATGTATAAGATGTCTTTGTATTGTGTTGCTGTGATATACAAATAAGCATGCTAACCAGTTAGCCTCGGCCCATTGTGTCTTGCAATACCATTTTTACCCTGAGAGCGGTTTATGAAAAACTGTAGCATCCAGTCTACCCTCAGTCACATGAAAGAACAAAGAGGTAGAGCTGCCCCGAGGGCCGAGGGCTCGTCAGTCATGGTAAAGGTGCAGCCCCCAATTAAGCTGGGTACACACATAAAGATATATAATGATACTGATTTTGTCCCGATTTTCCCCCCTCCCAACCAAGGATGGCAAACGCCTGATTATCTTATGTCTCATAAGATTATCCTGTTGTGTGAGGTGTGTTAAGAGTCAATTTGTCCTGATAATCTGCTAGGTAAAGGGTAGGGGTCGACAGTAAATATTAAACTTTTTCAATATTTCCGGTCAAAAATCCTCGTGTGTGGGGAAAGTCGACGACCTCCAAGTCCTGACTCCGTGAATTGTGACGTGGAACGGACGTGGAACGGAGTCAGAGAGCTGACTGAGGAACAAGGAAGCAGACATAGGAAATAAACAAGTAAGCATGGCCGACCCGAAGCACAGAGGTGGACGTCGGAAATGGAGGACCAGCTCGTAGATCTGTGGAAAATACAGGAATGTTTATATAATATCTCCGCCAAGTTGTATCACAACAGGAATGACAAGGGCAAGAGTTGGTGAAGAAATTGCCAGTGCCATGGAGTTATCAGGTAAGCTAATAGCTAGCTAGCTAGCTAACAGCTAGACTTGCTCCAGCCAGTGGTGTAATCATAGTAGCTAATGTTAAACCAGCTAGAAAGCTAGTAAAGCTGTAATCTCCCTGTTCCATCAAATGCTACTCCAAAACCCAGCCTCACTTGGCAACTAGCAAGCTCACGGCTAGCATTGGTAGCTAGCACTAGCCAGCACTTACACTCGCGTGTGTGTGTGTGTGTGTGTGTGTGTGTGTGTGTGTGGGTGTTTGGAGAGGAGGGTTGTGGAGGGGGATGATATGTAGATTCTGAGTCTCATATAAAGCTGTCATTAAAGGGAAATTTCGGTTTATTTCAACCTGTCTCCTATCATCCTAAATTAGGATAAATGTCAGAGAACATATAGAAAACGACATGTAAACATGTTGTCTTACCTTACCGGTGCCATGTTTGTTTACCATTTAGCTCTGCTTTCCAAAGTGCGGCCAAAATATCGCGAGAACAAGCAGCAACAGCTGGAAGGCAGAACCGGACAGGTGTGGTGCCATGTTTGTTGTTTACCATTTAGCTAAGGCTGCAACCGGTCCCATTCCTTGCAACAGAGGTATTCCTCTTCTGTGGGCAATGGAGAACAGCATTAACAGGTAACGTTACACCACCAAACTCCAAAGCTAAAACCTTCCAGCAGCCATTCCTCCTCTGTCGTCCTCTAACGTTACCTGTTGCGCCTCTCTCTCTCTCTCTCTTCCTCCATTCTTCAATTTCACAAAGCTCTTCGTCAGTGTATTCTGGCTCAAATAAATAAGGGCGGCCATCGCCTCTCGATGTGGAAAGCCTATATACTAACATTCCACATTTAGGTGGTCTTCAGAGTTGTTGTCTTACCTTACGGTGTGTTTACCATTTACCTCTGCTTCCCAAAGTGCGGCCGAAATATCGCGAGAACAAGCAGCGATCGCATGCCGTGCCTGAAATCTCGTGAGACCAAGCCGCAGGCAGGCAGAACCGGACAGTAGCCTGAAAGGTTCATTCATTTATTTTATGAAAGATTTATAGAATAATGGCTGACTTTTTGCCAGACTTAGACTTTGTGGAGGAGGAATTTGATTTTGCAGAGTTTGATGGCCGGCCTTATTTATTTGAGCCAGAATACACTGACAAAGAGGTTCTTGAAATTGAAGAACGGAGGAGGAGAGAGAGAGAGAGGCGCAACAGGTAGAGGCCGAGAGAGGAGGAATGGCTGCTGCAAGGCTGCGTAGCTCTGGAGATTGGTGGTGTACCTGTGAATGCTGTGCCCCAGTGCCCACAGAAGAGGAATGCCTCTGTTGCAAGGAATGGGACCAGTTGCAGCCTTATTTTCAAGGTCTGGATGTGACCGAGGACGAGACACCTCCACCTGAAGTAGTATCCAGCTGGGCTTTATCTAGAGCTCGCGAGATTTCAGGCACGGTATGAGATAGCTGCTTGTTCTCGCGATATTTCGGCCGCGCTTTGGAAAGCAGAGCTAAATGGTAAACAAACATGGCACCACACCGGTAAGGTAAGACAACACGTTTACATGTTGTTTTCTATATGTCCTCTGACATTTATCCTAACGATATGAGGAGGTCTTTGTGGAAAAAAAGCTTGTTTAGTGGACTAACTTTGCACTTGAAGGTTGCCCGTTCACTTACGTTTTAACAGGTCTGACGCTACTATGCGCCCCAGCTGTGTCTAGGCTAACAGCTAACATGCTAACTATTATTTTTATGTCACTAGTCACTTGAAACAAATTTAGGACGATAGGAGACAGGTTGAAATAAACCGAAATTTCCCTTTAACTGCCTCTTAACTCTAGTCTTTATGACTGGATAGTTAATAAGCTTCAACTCTGCTGTAACTTGCACCCCAAAGTGGTGTCACCGTCTGCCACTGCTTCTATTTACCTGAAAAGTAGTAGACACCTGCTGCAAGATTATTACTTTATCCAATTCAATGGAATCAGCACATTGGATTTTCTGGGGCTTTTTGGTCAGATAGGGGGGTTCAGGAGTATGGGCATGTAGTGGAGTACGTGTGTGTGTGTGTGTGTGTGTGTGAGAGAGAGAGAGAGACAGAGAGACAGAGAGACACAGAGAATGAAAATAAAGTAATATTATTTGTTGGTGCTCATAATTGCAGTGGAAGAAGTATGTGCAAAAGCCACATCATTAAGGACCCAGTATTCCAAAGTACTGAAAAGCAAACCCAGTGGGAGTGGAGAGATGGCCTTGACGGGAAAGCAAAAGTAGATGCTCAAGTTCCTGTCCTTCTTGAAAACACACGTCATCCAACGTGCTACAGAGGCCAGTGTAAGTGCTATATTAGACTACTGTAGTTCTTTCTTTTTGATCATTATTGCCTTTTTTCTTTTAATAGTTGTATTTTAGTAATCATGTTATACGGAGATATATCAAGCAATACCAGAAAATACCATTTCATCCTTTTATGACAGCTTCCCACCTCCATGAAAGATACCCTGGCTGCAGAGAAGCTTCCAAGTGATGAAGATGAAGTGCCCGAGCTGTCAGAAGATCCGAAGTCAGCAAGTGCCTCTCAGTCTCGATCATCTAGAGTCAAGCGGCAGATCGTGACGGCTTTATATGAGACTCAGGAATCTACATACCATCCACAACCCTCCTCTCTAAACACACACACACAAGCACTACCTCTCCATGTACCTCCACCTTTTCAAACCTATACACACATACAAGCACTACCTCATCAATACCAGCCTCATCTCAGTCAGACTAGCTTCCAGAGAATGCTAGAGAGTGATGACGACACATCACAGGGGCAGTTGGAGCAGTATTAACGGAGTATTAAAAAACAAAAAAAAAAAAAAAGAACACTTATGTGCACTTGAGTGGACCATGTCCTTCTAGCAGGAAGCACCAATGACTTGTTCTGGGTCGGAAGCTTGAAGCCTGTGTTTTTTTTTTTTCTGAAAGCACACTGTTATTCTTCAGAATGTCATGCAAGGTACTTTAAAATACTATTTCAAACTGTTTCAATTACTTATCTGTTCTTGATTTGTTAATGTTGGTCAACAACACTTCACAATAATTGAAGCAGGCTCTAAAAATGTTTACACTTTTGTCACTAGCAGTGTTATAGTTGTATGATGCCACATTGTTTATACTTTTTTATAAAAAAATATATATATAATTTATACTTGAGACAGTATTTTCTATGTTTACTTTTTTTTAAGATTTATGAGAAAATGTTTACATATCAATTGATGACAAGACAAATAGACTGGAAAAATGTTTTTCTTTATTCACAAATAAAAAAGGTAAAGCCATTAAGTGTCAGTTACATATTTATTTTTAATGCAAAGATACTAAAGAAATGTTTTATGAGTCCAAGTTTTTATTTCAAAATAAACATAATCCCCTGCATTTTTCATTGTTGCTCCAAAAAGTCTATATGTAGTTATCCTGCCAGGGAACCTGTCCTGCTGGTGTAACAAAGTAGCTCTTCAGGTTGTCTCTCAGTGCTTTGGCAGCCATGGAGCTGTTGCCACATCTTCCTGGTTGAAGAGGGAGCAGGGCTCCCAGGCCATTAGCTCTGCAGGTACCCTCCACAAGCCTGGGGTTTTCATCCACCTGTATCAGCCAGCCCTGGAGGTGTGTATGTGTCAGACCTCACCTCACACAAGTAGTTGTGGAGACACAGTAGCGAAAGCCATCTTCTGCACCTTGTTAGGGTTCAGCATTATAGTGGTGAGGAATACTCTCCACCTGTTTGCCCATATTCCGAAACCGTTTTTGACCACTCTGCATGCACGCGAAATTCTGTAATTGAAGACTCTCTGCTGATGGTCCATGTGGCAGTATGAGTACGGTTTCATAAGGTCAGGGCACAGAGGGTAGGCATCATCTCCAAGGAACATATAAGGGGCTTGGATGTCAGAGCCTGGGAGCAGATCTGCTGCAGGGAGGTTGAGGAGACCGCTGTCAAGTGCTTGCTTGAAATCTGACTCCGCAAACACTCCTGCATCAGATGCTCTGCCCTGGGCTCCCACACTGATGTACCTGTCAAGACACTTTTATTTATATAGCCTATTTACAACAGCTGCAGCTGAACCAAAGTGCTGCACAGGTAACAAAGAGCAAAAGAGAAATATACATATACAGAACATAAAACCTGCTTACCTGAACCTGTACCTGGCATTGACGACAGCCATCATCAGCACAGAGCATCGTTCTTTGTAATTTCGAAAGGTGCTCCCGCTGTGTGCTGGTGGCAGTATATTTATGTGTTTTCCATCGATCGTGCCTAGGCAGTGGTTAAATTGCCACTTTTGATGGAAGTCTTTGGCGATCTCCAACCATTCCTCTACTGTAGTGGGTGTCTGAAATAACAAGTTTTGTTTACATGAGTGTCATGAGTCTTCTAAACTGTTGCAGCTTCAACAGTAACCTAGACTAGTAGTGGTAGTAGTTAGTAGTACTACTACTAGTAGTAGTAGTAGTAGTAATAATATAATGGGGCAGCTTAGCTCAATATATCACAACAATCGTTCATTTTGTGATGAAAGCGCAAAATTTGGTACATGTGTTGGTGGATATATTTCAAACAAATCTGGATATCGGGGCATCGCAAAAACGCACCCTAGTTGCCGTAGCAACCATTTATTCAATAAAATTAATCAAAATATTTAAACGATTCATTACAATATTTAAAAAATGTAAATATGTATTAAACTAAGAAAAATACAGTTAGACACACTCACAGTTCACATTAAATTAAGAACAAGCGCAAATTCGCAATAGCTGCGACCTCATACATGCATGCATCCACACAACATGCATCCACACAACCTCAAGAAAAGCAAAATTTTCATTTTGAAATGCTTAGTATAGCGCCACCTATGAATGAATCCTCGTCATTCTTTCTGGCATGGTTACTCATGGTCTCTAGTTGCAGTATGCAAATTTCGAACATTTTGGTCAAGTACTTTTTGAATTATTCAAGAAAAGCTTTTTGGACCGACCGACCAACCGACCAACCAACCAAAAATGGCTGCCAGTGGTTACTGGCATGGAATGGTTTGGCTATCCTCAGGGTTCCTACGCAAGTATGGAAAGTATGGAAAAGTATGGAAATAAATTTGATCAATTTCCAGGTATTAAAAAGTATGGAAAATGAAAAATAAAGTATGGAAAAATATTTATGTTCCCAGACTATTACCACTGTTCTAAAATACTGTTTTCCAAAATAGAAAATTAGGTATTTCCAAAAATAATTTAATCAATCCGGATCGTGTTTTATGCCGGGCCAAGCACAGTTTGTGAGAGCAAACGTCTCAGAAAACCTAGCGCCCCTTTTACTTGATTGACAAGGGAACTGCCCATTGATCTGACAGCCCATTGGTCCGACATCCCATTGTTCCGACCATATTAAACCCATTATTCTGAAGTCCCGTTGTTCCAAAATCATCATGATGCCCTGTGGTTAAGGTCTGGTTAGGTTTAGGCACAAAAACCACTTGGTTAGGGTCAGGAAAAGATCATGGTGTGGGTTAAAATGAAAAAGAAAGTGGCAAACACATAAGCCGTGAGCCTGCTTCACCTCCCAGCTGACCCAGAGCCGGTCACAGCGCACGATCATGGTAGAAATACGCCCGCCGGGAGCCGTTCAGCACCGCGGACCGTCAGACTAATGGGATGTCGGACCAATGGGCTGTCGGACCAATGACATGGACCCATTGACAAGTGGTATGTCCAGTCCGCTGCCCCATGACCCTCCTCCAACCCCCCAGGTATCAAGTTTCACTCCAACACTGCACCTTCGACAAGAAGACGAGTTTCACGTGGTTCACAATGGGTAGATGCAAGTTTTTGGATGGATGGCTTGACAATACCGTATATAAATGCTGGTTGGCCAAGGATTCCCAATTCACACCCACAGCTAGATGCAAGCTTTGTGTGAAATAGATTGACATCACCAACATGGGGGAGAAGGCGATCTGGGCCACATGAAAGGAAAAAACACCGATGTCTCGTTACTGCATCTCTTGCACCCAGAGTCCCAACCTTTTTGCCTCAGCCCAGACATTGAACTTAACTGAGTTTTTATTTGCATGCCATTATGGTACTTGGCTACAATCGCCTATTAAGAATAATTAAATATTAAATATGATGTGAAATATGATACACTGATATATTTACTCAGATGTCGCATATTCTCTGGAAAAAAAAAAACACAGAGAAAAAAAAACGCAAATTAGGGTATGGAAAAGTATGGAATTTTTAAATTCCAAATGTGTAGGAACCCTGTATCCTATAGGTGCTGTTTCATGTTTTTAGTGCCACAAATATAATTTAGAGGCATATTAAAGTGGAAAAAGCTTTATAAAAATGTAATAGAACAGAACAAGAGCTTTTTAAAACATTTTATTAGCTTCTCATTCACAGTTTACGGCCTCCTCTTTGGCTTATCTTCCTGTGTTGCTCCTTAAAAAGCAAAAAATTAAAATATTTTAATCATTTGCCAGATTAGTGGGGCAGCATAGCTCAATATTTTTCTAGAATTTTTCAATTTTGTGATAAAAGCACCAAATTTGGCAGATGTGTTGACAAATATATTTAGAACAAATCTGGATATTGGGGCATCAGAATCCTACCTGCCCATGGACCCATCCCGTGGATTGGATCCACTCCAAAATGTAATGGCTTCTAAGTTGGACCATGCTACATGCCTCCATCAAGTTTTGTGAAAATCGTTTGGAAAGTTTTCACATAATCCTCATCCAAAAAATGAATGGAGGTCCGTGGACGCGCCCCCTGAGTTGGATCAACACCAAAATTTAATATATTTTAAGTTGGCATGTGTTACATCCCTCCACCGAATTTTGTGAAAATCGGTCAGGCAGTTTTTGTATAATTCTGCTAACAAACTAATAAATTGGGCGGCATAGCTAAAAAAAAAAATGTTTTTGTGATAAAAGCGCCAAATTTGGTACATTTATAGCTTAATATACTGGAATAGAACACCTTGGTCAGCCCCCCCAAGCTGCTGTTACCATGTTTTCAGCACCACAAATATGATTTAGAGACCAGTTAAAGTGAAAAATATGTTTCATTCGAAACAGGCAAGAGCTTTCACTATCTTGCAGCCCACCAAATGGCTGCATGTCTCAGACCAGAGATGTCATGTGCCCTTCCAATGTTCCATGCTTTGACAGGCTGTGACATCATATCCAGCTTTGCTGGACATGGAAAGAAGGCAGCATGGTCAACATGGAAGTCGCTGCCAGAACTGACAGATGCACCACTGACGCTGGCAAGTGGACCAAAGGACATCCCAGATGATGCAATGAGCATTATTGAGAGGTTTGTCATACTTCTCTTTGACAGAACCAAAAGCTCTTGTTCTGTTCTATTACATTTTTATAAAGCTTTTCCAATTTAATATGCCTATAAATTACATTTGTGGCACTAAAAACATGAAACAGCACTTATAGCCAAACCATTCCATGCCAGTAACCACTGGCAGCCATTTTTGGTTGGTTGGTTGGTCGGTTGGTCGGTCGGTCCAAAAAGCTTTTCTTGAATAATTCAAAAAGTACTTGACCAAAAATGTTTGAAATTTGCATACTGCAAGTAGAGACCATGAGTAACTATGCCAGAAAAAATGACCAGGATTCATTCATAGGTGGCGCTATACTAAACATTTCAAAATGAAAATTTTGCTTTTCTTGAGGTTGTGTGTATGCATGTTGTGTGGATGCATGCATGAATGAGGTCGCAGCTATTGCGAATTTGCGCTTGTTCTTGATTTAATGTGAACTGTGAGTGTGTCTAACTGTATTTTTCTTAATTTAATACATAATTACATT